GAGTACTTCGTCTTTAGAAATAGGTGTCTTTCTAAGAGGTGTCTGCCTGTGGAATCAAAATTTCCAAGACTTCTACATGAGGTAGCCAGATAATTTCTTGACTTGCTTAGTACCTCTCTGAATCTACTTTCTGACACTTTGTAATTTTGAATACTTATTTATGCTCCAAGGACCTGCTATATGCCTTTTTTGGGCAAAGCTATTTTATTTTCCTTCTATGTATATTAGTGACTTCGAAGGGAACCAGTGAATAGCTGTCATTGAAGCAAGTACAACCACTTGGCTCAATGCTCACCTGGTATCTATCTGAACAAGGGGAGGATAATTCATTTCCATTTAGCATATTTAGCAAACATTTCCATTCAGCCATTAGTCTGCCTTTTGAGAGACAGAAATGGACACATTTTCCATTTAGGATGTTATTGTGATGTGGCTGTAACTTTTGAGCAGCTGTCAGATGGTGACATAATTTTCAGGGGTCTTTAGAAAGGTCAGGCCTGGCAGGGCTTTCATTTCCTGACCTGCTGGAAAGACCTGGAACACTTTGTGATGCATGAGTGGTTGGTTCACCTGCCTCTGCTCAGAGCCCTGAGGCAAACAGAGGCCAATGGAGTGAGCACCATTGAAAAGCCTGGGATTTGCACAGTCTTTCCAGAGCCCAAATCAGTGAAGGTGCTGCCCCTGTGGAGCTTCTGGCAGTGATGCAGTTCCTGGCACACAGGCGTGTAGAAGCAACAGGAGTGAGTCTGAGGCTGTGCAGAAGCACCATTCATTGTCACTGGTCCTCCCTGGTGCCCATTCAGAGGTGATCTGCAAGTGCTGCTCTCTGACACATGCTCTGACACATGAAGGGGCTGAAGATCCATCCTCCTTCCCAATGACTACCTTGGGATATTTTAGGCTAAGATAAGGACAGTCTTCTTGACATCATTTTTCTTTCATTTAATTTTTCTTTTTTTTCACTGCTGCTGTCTGGGCTCCTGTTGAAAAGCAAAGTGATGGAGAACGGTGACATTGACATAGGGATGCCAAGGACCTTTGGCTGGGCACAGTAATTGTCATGTAAAATTATGCTAGTTTTCAACTTTGGAAGTAAATGCAACTTTTATTTTTCACGCCCTGTTATGCTGGTTTCATGGTACATTGGTGCCTCAGTAAAGAAACCTGCCAGTCATCAGTTTCCAGACAATAAATTTGTAATTGAAGAGGGATTGTCATGACAGAGCAGCCAAGCCCAGGACTGGACTTTCCCCTGGGTGGGTGTGCTCAGTGGAGACATGCTGGTTGGGCTGCTGCAGGTAGGACTGCAGGCAGCTCCCAGCCCCTGGTGGCCATCCAGCCCTGGCCAAAAGCCAGCGGTGTCTGCGTCACCGGCCCTGCTGGTTGTGCAAGTGCCCCTGTTACCGGACTGACCTTGCAATGGCTTTTGTAACCCCGCTGGCAGGGCTCTGGGGGACTTTGCCCTCTATCCCACCTGGACCCTGGCTGACCCCAGTGCCTTTGCTCAGCTCTGACCTGCCTCAGCAGGAGTTGGGAAGCCTGAAATTCAGGCTGGGAAGGTCTTGGTGCTGCTGGACACACCAGCTTGGAAGCTCCCTTTTGGGCATCTGGTAGAGTTTTCGGCTTCTCATGCTGTCTGCAGCCACCCAGAGCTCAGGGCACCAGGCTGCAAGTGGCTGAGCAGCCCCTGACCCCTCTGCCTTGGTCCAGGCAGTGAGCTGGCAAAGCTTGAGGTTTTGCCAACTCCCAGCCGCGAGAACAAAGGTTGGGAACTGGCCACTTCCCAGGTGGCCGGCTGGGCTGTGTCCTCTCCCCGGCTGTGTGCTGAGGTAATGGAAACAAGTCATGGCAAAGGCCACCTGGGCTGTGCCTAGGTTTATCACCCTACAAAAGTGAACTGCTTGTTCAATAGCAAATTCCTCTGTGAATTCCCTACTTGAATTGCGTCAAACATAGATTTAATTATTAATAGATTTTTGTCCTTCCAGGACAGTTTCAGAAGACATGGAAAGGTTCTCTTTCCTCCATGGGTACATCCTGGAGTTTGGGTGAGTCTGCTGTTTTTCTCACACAACAGCTGTACTTTCTGCCTTTATTTTGTTCTAGTTTATTTTTGAAACTGCAGCTGCTCTATAGGTGTGTTTTTGAAGAGAAAAACAGCATTGAGAGAAAAAACATCATCAGTAGAGGGCTTGTAAGACTATCACAATTTATGTTTTGATAATCATAAAGGAAATGAGTAACAAAGACAAACAGATAAAACTACAGATGAGAGTAACAGAATTAGCACAAGCCTCCAGTGATGAAACTGGGATGCAGTCAGTCAGATCCAAGAGGGTTCAAAGCATGAAAATGGTACAAGAGATCAAACCCAGCTCTAGAAATGAGACAGAAAAGTCTGAACAAGAAAGCAAATCACGTAGAGGATGGGCAGAAAGAAAAGCTAACTCCATCATCCTGGAAGACTCTAGATATCTATTCTCCTGAGTTGTCTCTGAACCCCTAACAAGCCCTTCCAAAATCTAGGCAAGAAGAGTGGTACCAGATGATGAAAGAAAGACAAAAAATGGACCTGCCTTCAAAGGGGAAGGAAAGTTCCTTGCACTATGAAAACTGTCATGAAGAATGACCTGACAATGACAAATGTGGCTGGAATGGAGAGTAACACAAAGAAAGATGAGCAAATTTGTGGTGGGCTGTATGCAGGAGACAGTGGGGAAGAGCTGGGCCAAGGAGAGGCTTGAGGAGACAGTAATAAGAAAAGATTTAGAAGACATGATGTGAAAGAAACATGCTTATTTTTTATAGAAGAAAATAAACACCAGGCCCATGAAAAACAGTCTGCAAGATTAAAAGACTGGTAGAACAATGACAGAGATCAACCAGTGTTGCCCAAGCCAAGGTGCACTTCCTGCACTGGGGAAAGTAGGATCAGCTGTTATGCTTAGGAAAGAAAAGCACCTAGAAAGTCAGAGATCTTATGATATGCCAGTGGAAAAGACAAGTCCCATCTTTCTGATGGCACCTTGCATTTGCTTCCAGCCCTGGAGGCCAATTTAGTCCCTGGAAAGGTCAGAACTCCCTTTCCTCTGTACCCAGAGGCATGCCAACATATGTGCCCAAAACCAAAACAGACAAGAGTTTTCTGGGAGCTCAGGGACATTGTGAAATCCCCTCTGTTTGCAGCTTAGAATGAGGTCACATGTCACACAGGCAGCCTGCAGGTAATTCATCCTGACAGCACAAAGAACAGAGGTAAGATCCTCTCCAAAACCTGACTTCTGCTCGGCAGTAGAGCCCAGCCTGTGATGCTGCTGAACTGAGACAACTCTTCTGAGGTTGCTCTGGAATGGCCTTTTTTAATGCTTGCACCATACTTTTGGGGATCCCCATTCATTCATATTGATCAGTTGCTGAACTGTCTGGCAGTTGCCGAGGTGGGTTGTTGGCTCCATCTGGTTAATGTGACAGGACTGGAAGCATCCTTAGCCTCCCCAGTGCCCCTTTTTCTGGGTGTCCCCCACCCTGTTGTACAGTTGGTGCAGTGGGCTGCTGGGGCTTGGGAGCCCACCAAGAGAAGAACGCCCCCAGCACCCAAACAAAACCTTCCACCCTGATTCTTGCAGTGGTTTGTTTGGTTTTTTTTTTTTGTTTGTTTGTTTTATTAGTAGGTTTATTGTTTGATTTGTAATTTGGTAGTTTCCTTATGCTGTTTCCTTTTTGTTCCCACCTTTTCCCAGTATTTTGTCACATTTCTTGTTGTTAGTTGCTAGTTTCTATTTCTCCAAACTCTATCAATTTTACTGAAACTGTTCTCCTCCCTTGGGATTTTTATTGGTTTATACATTATATTTACCGCCTGGTTTTTTACTCCCAATTCTCCTGATTTGTTAAAGATTGTACCCTCCCCTGGGACCTGCCCCCAAATATAAGCTCCTTTTTCCCCCGATCAGGGTCCTGGGAGGCAGAAGAAGGGGAAGTTTACCATCAAACAAAGCTACCGCGGGACCGGTGTACTGCTCTGTGTGTCTTACTGCGCCGAGAGCTGGCAACTGGGATTCAACGGGGCTCAAGGGGGTTCTGCCGCCTACCACCCCCGTCGGTATTCATCTAGCCGGGAGCAGCGGCACCTGATGATCCTGGAAGTCTTTTCCCACATAAATGATTCTACTACTCTCTCTTGTCTCCAGAGGATGGCTATAACCACCCTAAGCCCAGTAGGCAGCAAGCTGGAGGAAAAAAGCCTTGACAGCAGGCACTAAAACACAGGGAACACGGGGATCAGCTGCTGTGCCCTAATGCCATCTTCCTGGCAAGAGAAAGCCTAGGAAAAAGAGGGATGAGCCAGGGGCGCTTAAGCAGACCCAGGTCTAATGCCATGCTGTCCTAGGCCCCCTCAGTAGTTTATCAAACGCACGAAGAATCTAGTATTTCTGGGCGGGGGCGGGTCACATTTTCAAAAGGAAGCCTGTTCAGACTAGCTGCGGGCAATGCCCTAATTTCAGCACAGGAATTTGGGGCTGCTCTTGGCCTCCCTGGCCTGACACGGGGCGCTGAAGCAATGAGGCCACGGAAAGCGGGGGAAACAAGAGCACCCACCCCTCAGCTCCCTGTTTTGGGGCCCAGAGCCCCCTTATCGGGGGTTGCTCCTTTATTTCCCCCCAGCCCAGCGCCTCGCAGGCTCCCGTAGGGGACGGCACGTGCGGGATGCTGCGCTGGGGCAGCGTCCTGCTCTCCACGTGGTCCTGGGGACGTAGCGGGCGTGACGAGGGGGATGCGCGTGTCTGAGCGAGGCATCCCAGTAGAGGATATTATATCCCTAGCGCTGCAAACACCCGCGCGGCTGCGCTCGGGCTCCCGCGGCTGCCGAGCCGCGCTGCTCCCGGCGGGGCGGGGCGGCCGCTGAGCCGTGACACCCGTGAGTACAGAGGGCGCCCTTTGCTGACATCACCGGCGGGAAACCTCCTCCGGGCCAGACCACTCCACAGCGGGGTAGGGGAGGCGGGAGCGGCCACGGGGCGCGTTCTTCCTACCGCGGCGTCCTTCGCCAGCGGCAGCGGGATCCGCGGGACGGCCGTGGAAAGCGGGCTCGCCGGTCTTCGCGGGCGGGCTTGGTGGGCGAGCAGCGTTGCCGGGAGGGTTTGTTTGTACCTTGTCACTTCCCCCCCCTCCAGTGAGGGTGGTAGTGCCCGAAGTACACGCCGCGCGGGGCGCCGCCGCTTCTATAAGCGCGGCCGCGGGGCGGGCACGGGCCTAGCTGCGCTGCTGATCCCGCCCAGCCCGCCCGATCCCTGCCGGTCCCGCTCCGTCCCGCCGGGAGCATGTACCAGAGCTCCGCGCGCTGCCTCTGCTCGGCCCTTCCCGCCGCGCTCTGCTGCGCTCCCGCCGCCGCCTCGGTCTCCCGCCTGCCGCTGCCCCCAGGCCCCGCCGCCCCGCAGGCAGCAGCGGGCGGCCCGCCCGCCCCGGGGACGCCGCCCCGCACAGGTGGGTACTGGCCGAGGAGGGTGCGCAGCCGCCCCGGGAACCGCGCGGGGTCACAGCCGGGCGGCTGGTTCCGGGCTGCTGCTGTCAGAGCGGGATCTGGGCCGTCCTGCCCACGTCAGCGTGTTCCTTGTCCCCTCGCTGGCCGCCTCTCCGGGACTGGACCGGCCCTTGGGCTCTAAGGCCGTGGCGTTCGCCCACCCGGTGTGAGCGGGCAGCATCCCACAGCATCGCGGCTGCCGGACAGCCCGCCGGAGCTTCAGGCGTTTCTGGCTCGGTGTCCTCCATGTGAGGGATAGGGCACCCTCCGCGCCCATACGTAGGCTGGGTGCTTGGAGCCAACCCAGGTATGGGTGGGCTGACCTGTCTGGTGAGTCAGAAGGTCAGTGTCCGCATGCCGCTGTCAGGAGCCTGCTCTCACATAGCTGAGCTGCCCTCTTTAGCGCTGCAGTTTGTGTAGGATGAGCTTGACTCACAGCGAGGTCTTTTCACTCATGACAGTGTGTGGGAACAGCCCAGGTTACAGGCAGCAGCAGCCATCAGGTCCCTATTAGCCTGTACTGTTAAATGATTACAATCCGTTCTTCATTCCCCACTTGAGACTTGGAAAGTGCACAGATGCCCTTGTGTGCCGGTGCGGACGCCACCTTGGTGTGATGCACCCACCGCAGCCCTGTGGTCGGATCCAGCCTTAAGCCACCTTTGTTGACTCTGGCCGTGGCTCAGAGTGCCCACTCGGAGCCATTCCTGCTGAAAGCTGGGGTAGCAGGGTAGCAGCCACCATGCTCCAGACTGTTGCTGTGGGTGGGGTGATAAGCCCAGCTCTTTATCACTGAATGGCTTGGATTGGAAGAGACCTTAAAGGTCATCTGGTTCTAGCCCTCCCTCAATTGGCAGAGACATGTTCCACTAGACCCACTAGGTTGCTTAAAGCTATATCCAAGCTGGGCTTGGACACTTCCAGTGCTAGAACAGGCACAGGGAACACAGGGCACAGCTTCTCTGGGCAATATGTTCAGGCTATATTTCATATCTGGCATGCAGGAGATCCACTTTCCCCTACTGCCTTCAGCTGGGGTTGGGGTGAAGTGAGTTCACTCCGTTGCTGCTGTTACAGGAGGAGTGTAAAAGCCAGGCTGGGGTAGGGTGCTTCCATTCCTCCTGTTGAAGCTAGGCCAGGATGCCATATGGTGGGATTGAAGTTCATGGAATTACAGGGAAGAGGAGCATATGCATCTGAGAGCTGGCAGAATTGAGCTCGTGATTAATAAAGCACTCATGAAGATAAAGGTTTCCAGAGCTTGTGCCAAGTAGTGATTCCCTATATTACTGGAGGCAGGATTTGAGGTTCCCTCTTCTTTCTGGTGTCACCTGTTGAGAACAGGCAGCTTCTGCCTTGCTCTGACAAACTCTCATTGCTGTTCCAGACAAGATTGTACATGTAGTATGATACCTTGGTAGCATAGATTTTGTCACATAGGATGGTGCCTGTCAAGTTGTTCCTGGAACTGGGGTTCCAAGGAGGGCATTTCTAGCTGCTGCTGGCCTCTGGGGCCGTGGAGGCTGATGCAGCTCCAGACTGCAGGTGTGTGGGGTCATTCACATGGCAGGGAAAGCCTTGTGGTAAGCAGGGTAGGGCTTCTGGCTGAAAGTGGTGCTGGGAGGTATGCCTTGAAAAGAAGGGAAATGAGAATGTTGTTCACCTTACCCAAAAAGTCAGGGCCCAATACCCTTCTGCAGCAAAGTCCTTAAAGAAAAGTCTCTGATGGCTCATTGTCTGAGATCCTAGAAGTTCATCTCTTGTGTGCTGGATGATGCAAGAAACCTTCCAACTTTACACCCTGTTATTACTTTTAATTCACACTTTGAATTCTTCCCTTGCCCTTACTATGCTGAGGTACCATCCTTGCTGAGAGGAAGGAACTTTTTGATTTTAATCACCTTGAATAGTAATTGCTGAGTTCATGTTCCCTGTTACATAACACCAGGATAATCACTTTCATATTTGCTATCCACTGCTCCAGTGCAAGCTCAGAAGTCTGCTTGTGCCTCTGCCCTCACCAGCTCCACAGTGTCACAGCACACATTATCCCAGCAAGTTACAGGTCACTTAACTTGCACTGTAATATTTCAGAGTGGTGAGCTTGTATTGTATAGGTGGACTGCTGTGGACATGGTTCAGCATTGCAGAAATAACAAAATGCATTCTATGTTTGGAGCTTTCATGGTCAGATTGTTGGTCTGGCCCCTGTTCTGCAGAACACCTTAGTCTGTGTTGTCATGATTTCAGCACTTTGGGTGCAAAGCACTTGTGCAGATAAGCAGGCATCTTAAGCTGGAATCTTCCCAAGGAGCCCCCTCCTTCAGCCAAGAACTTTCAAGCCACCTATGCCAGGACTGAAAGTGCTTAATTTACAGACCCTCTTTCACATAATTGTCTCTGGGCCCTCAAAAGAAGACTGAAGCTCTTTTTCCTTCCTGAGACATGACTGACTTTGAAAGCTGTCAGATCAGTTCTGGGCCATAGTACAGGTTATGCTATGCTTTATACCCCATAAAGAGCTGGATACACCACGATTTCAGGGATGATGAGATTTAGACAGTACTCTGGCTTTGTTTGCAGCTTGGCAGGTGGAGGCTGAGCTTAGCCTTGATCCTGCTGTAACAGCTGTAAGCTGCTCAGGGCTTTGCCAGCAGACCTTTGACTCCAGCTGTGTTACATCTACCTTGTCCCTTTTAATGTCATCCCTCTGACTCAGGTCACACCACAAGCAACCTAAGGGCTTGCTAATGGCTTCTTGGAGGGTTATTATTTCCCAGTGTTCCTTTGGAGAGCCCCACATGAGCCATGCTCATCCATGGCATGGTAGGGGCTGTACTCAGCTGCTGACAGCAGCCCTGATGCAGCAGAAAACACTGTACTTATCTCCAGTTGGAGCACTTAGCCAGGGGTTGTACCTGTCCTAAAAATAGGTGAGTGGCTCCCTGTGGAGCATCTATTAAAAGCTCTACTGATTTCTTTGGGTTTCTACATGGCTGCCTGGCAGCTCTGGTTGTGTGTAAACTGCACCCTTCTGTATCCAGCACAGAGTGTGTTTTCATTCCTGCTCCCACTCCCTTCACAGCTGTGTCAGGATCCTGCCTAGGGATTTTGTGTTTCCCCTCACTATTAAATGCCACTTCTACTTCAGCAGTATTTGGCTTCTTGAGAAGTAAATTTATTTATAAACTGAGAAAGACTGCAGAAACTGAAACACTATGCATAGCTTCCCTGGAAAGACACGTGTGAGCTCAAGATCACATCTCAGTTTGAGGAACTGCTATTACTTTAACTAAAAGAACAGAGATGAGGAGAAACTTCCTATATCTAATCTAAATTCCCATTTCACAACTTTCTTGGAAAAAGGTTCTGTTCCATGGGCTTACACATACAAAACACACATTAAAGCAAGTAGGTTTTAGTAGCTTTTAAAAGTATCCATTTTCCTAAATACAAGGTTGTGGGGCTTATGCTGGAGAGTCTTTCTTTTCCTCCCGAGTTTGTTTATTGAACTGCCTGCCCCTCTAGCCTGTCATTATTGTATGTCTGTCACCAGCTCTTAAAATGGATAGTGCTGTAGTTCAGTCTGAACATGCAGGTGTGCTGGGTAGCATGCCAGATCTTCTGCAAGATGTGAGCGGAGGTTGACGATTTCATCCTCTTCCTTTTTAAAGTAACTCAAATGTACAAATAAACCTACTTAAAAACCACTGTGAGCCAACAGCAGTGCAACACTGAAGTTCTTTTGCTTAAGATTCCCTTTGCAAAAGGCATTCAGAGTAAATAAGTAAGTTGAGACAACAACAAAACTCGGTCAGCGTTGCCTCTTATGCAAGTTGCTGTAGTGCAAGCACTGCCCTTTCCTGCCTGTGTTTGAAGGAGCAAAGCCCTCCCTCCCTGAGGCAGGGTTGGAGAGCTCTTGCACACACAGTGTAGAAATACCACAAAATGTACATAAGGGGAAAAACAGAGCAGGGGCACATGTGCATCCCTGTCCTGTGGCAGCTGTAAGCCCATGTGGGATAGGGGGACCTCCCCGTAGGAGACATAGGGCTGAGTGAGGGTCAGCTGCATTAGCAGGGAGAGCTGGAGACAGCAGCTTGTGTGCAGGTCATGTGGGTAAGATGGTCAAAGGAACAGAGGTGGCTGGTGCTAGGGAGGACTGCAGGGAATGCTGGAAACTGCTGAGCTGGGGCACAGCACAAAAGAGGGAGCACAAAGGGAGAGAGGAGGGTGGGGGGAATGAACATAGGGATGTGGAGCTGGGAGACACTTCCTTCTCCACTCCACATCCTGAGGTCTAAGCCAGCAGAAGCCTCTAGCTGCTTCATTCTCATGACAGCATTACTGCTTTGGGGATAAATGACACTGATCAGAGATTCCTATTAAATACTAACCCTGAGGGTTAGTCAGGTTAACAAGTCTGCAGCCTGGAGGCATTCCATATGGACTGAGGTGCCAGGCCATACAGAGTGCTGTCTCCATCAGAAGCAAATGCTGAACATGAAATAAGGAGCAGGCAGCATTAGTCCACCTGCTGGGCTCTCTCCTCTGTGAACAGGGAAAAAGTGTGCTCTATTGTTTTTTTTCTACAATATATGCAGAGTTAATTTTAGCCCTGCTATTCTGGCTGAAAGACTTCTTTATTGGAGACAGCAGCGTGATGTCTTAAAACCAGGCTGTTTGTAGGCTGCAGCCTCTGATGACAGGCAGAACATGAGCCTGCACAGGACTAACTTTATCCTCGCATCCTTCTTATTTTGTCTCAGACTCAGGAACAGGCTCCTGCACAAACCACCAATGGCTGGCACTGCAACAAGGTACTCAGGTGATGAGAAGAGTTGTGGTGGACCATCTCTAACACCAGCTTTTCCTTTGCAGTGTGTTCCATGGGAAACAGCACAAGCCGGCTCTACAGCGTACTCGCCAAGACGCTGAGCAGTGGTGCTGTATCCCAGCACCAGAACTGCCTGGAGCAGGTGGACTCAGCACAGCTGGATCCTATAGACCCCAAGGATTTGCTGGAGGAGTGTCAGATTGTTCTGCAGAAGCGGCCACCCCGCTTTCAGAGGAACTTTGTGAACCTGAAGAAAAATACCACCAGTAACCACCGCCCCATCCGGGTCATGCAGTGGAACATCCTCGCCCAAGGTAGGAGATGCTTGTGAGCTCAAGGTATGAACTTGAGATCAAATGCAGCAATGAAAACCCTGGCAGAGCAGAGGGAGAGGAGTGAGCTACATGAGACACAGCTGACTGAGAGCCAGGGGGAATATTTTGAGCACTTGAAATAGTGGCTTTCCTTCTGTCCCATAGGAAAGGAAAAAAAGGTCTCTCCTTGCAACTCTGATGCCAAAGGTAGTCCTGAATTCCTGTCTTAACTGAGCATAGTGTATTCTAAAAGATGTGACCCATCAGTTTTAGATGGTTGTTAACCCCAGAGAAAACTCATCCTTTTCCTAAGTTTTATTTGTAAAGTTTCTCTTTAGTTTATGATTACCTTTTTGGTGAACTATCCATAAATTCAGATCTGCTATGGGAATTCTTAATGCTTAAAAATAATTTTAACTGCTAATTTTCAATCAAGGCTGTAAGTTCATGAGTGCAGCAGCCTCATCTTAAAATATTTTGGTGTGGGCAATTTCCCTCATAGGGACTGCCTTAACCTTCTGCAGTCTCTTTTAACCCACTTCATTTTATTTTGGCTTATGCTGCAGCAGCCACATGTGAAAGTACTTGCCCTTGTGTAGTGGGCAGAGGGGCAGAAAGTCTTAATATATCTTTTATCTGTAAAAGGAATTTAATTTTTTTTGAGTGACTCCAGTGACTTGAGAAGAGGTTCTCACACCTGCTGGAAAATCTGGTACCCTTAAAGTCACCACATGTAAACTGATAAAACGTGGAGCATGACAGGCTGTTTCAGCTATTGGTAACTTTGGGGTTTTTTCTTTACCTTCCCTGCTAATTCCAGCTCTCGGGGAAGGCAAAGACAACTTTGTTCAGTGCCCCATGGAAGCTCTGAAATGGGAGGAGAGGAAGTGCCTTATCCTGGAGGAAATCCTTGCATACAAGCCCGACATCTTGTGCCTTCAGGAAGTCGACCACTACTTTGACACCTTTGAGCCGCTCCTCAGCCGCTTGGGCTACCAGTGCACTTTCTTCCCAAAGCCATGGTCACCGTGCCTCGATGTGGAGCATAACAACGGGCCAGATGGCTGCGCCATGTTCTTCCTCAAGGAACGCTTTCAGCTCGTCAACAGTGCCAACATCCGTCTGACCGCCATGAAGCTGAAGACCAACCAGGTGGCCATTGCTCAGACGCTGAAGTGCCACGAAACCGGGAGGCTCTTCTGCATCGCCGTCACCCACCTGAAAGCCCGCACGGGCTGGGAGAGGTTCCGCTCTGCTCAGGGCTGTGACCTCCTCCAGAACCTGAAGAACATCACCCAGGGAGCAAAGATCCCCCTGATTGTCTGCGGAGACTTCAATGCAGAGCCAACCGAGGAGGTCTACAGGGAGTTTTCGAACTCTAGCCTCAATTTAAACAGTGCATACAAGCTGCTGAGCCCCGATGGACAGTCGGAGCCCCCCTACACCACCTGGAAGATCCGGCCCTCTGGAGAGTGCCGGCACACGCTGGATTATATCTGGTATTCCCAGCATGCCTTGAATGTGAACTCAGCCCTGGGCTTGCTGACTGAAGAGCAAATTGGGCCCAACAGGCTGCCCTCATTCAATTACCCTTCCGATCACCTGTCCCTTGTGTGTGACTTTAGTTTTAATCAGGACCCTGACAGACTGCTGTAATGTCTTAGAACACCACCTGGTATTGCAGTGTCTGAACTCTCCAGTCTTTCATTTTAGAGAAAACCTTTGAAGCTAGATGCTATTGAAAGATGAAGAAATAGTGTTGACTGACCATTATTTCAGGCACTTGTTTGGAGTTACACTTGCTGTTCAGCCCTCATTAATGTTCAGCCTTCAAGGGAGGAAGAAGGAAGCCAGTGTTCTTGTCGTGCTCTTCTTGCCACATCAGGATTTGAAAACTACTTTATTCTTTCACTAAGCCCCTGTTGCAGCGCGCTTTTATACTTTGTAATACTTTGTAATAGTTGGATTTTGTACCCCCTTCCTCTACCTATGTAACCATTCTCCTGTGTTGAGATCATCCCCCAAATCCCCGCCCTGGCTCTCTGTCAGTCACTCAGCATCCCATCCCTTCTATCTAGATCTTTCGGTCAAAGCTGTCGAGTGATTAGCCCGAAGCCAGGGTCAGCCCCCCAAGGATGATGTTATACGCTATCCCAAATGTCCATCCCCTAAGGCTGTATCCCTGGAGGGGCTTTATTTGGCAGCAAATGTATCTACCCTCGGTTTCCTCCCCCCCTTTAAATGTAACCTCGAGACTCCTTTGTCTCGCTCTGAGCACGGCGCCCCCTGAGGAGAGGGGCTCCCTGGGGAGCTCCGAATAAACCTTGGACTGGCCCCCTGTTCAGAGTCGGCCTTTTACCCTCCACTGATGTCTCCAGTGTCTCTTCTGCTGCAAAGGTGACTAGCCCAGCTGCCCTCAGTACCCTCGGGGCACCAGAGAGTGTCCCCCCGCTGTCGGTCACTTCGGGGCTGCCCCCCCGCTGTTTGCCGACCCGGGGCTGGCCAGGGTTCACTGGGAGGCACCAAGAGAGTCAGAGACAAGCCCCGTTTTCAGGATTTGATCCTCTAATGAATGTGAAGGCCTTAGTATTTAAATCAAAACACTTGTGTTTGTAAAACATCTTGCCCTGACAACAATTTTATTTATTTCATGTTAAGCTTCTGCAAGTACCAAAGGGAATGAGGTTTGACTACCCAGTGAGATTATCTTAAATCTTTTTCTGTTGCAATACAAAAGAAGTTTAATGCAGTTTAGACAAAAAGCTAAACTCATAATAGTGTGCTCTTGTCATTTTTCTATGACCTGAGATGACAAATTCATTAGAAGTGTGAGGAAGGATCCCTCCAGTAAGAGCAGGTGAGGAAAGAGAGGTTGACTATGACCTAGAGTAAATACCCTCACTTCTCCAGAACAAAGTGCATGTATCTGTCACACACATATAGGCTGTACGGTGACTGTACCTTCATCTCTTCTGTGCTTCTCTCTGGAGGACACAGCTAACCAGGGACTATTTCTTCCTCTACTTTGAGTATTACTTTTCTAAAGGTTTAAATTTGTAGTCTTGTCAATCTTGCTGTTTCAGTAAAGGGCCAGTCTTAATATTGAAATATTTTCTTTTATTTATCTTCAGAATCTAAAGCTACACTGGAACCTGTTATAAGATAAAATTTATTTATTGAGAGAAGTTGGTGATCCTGCATCTGACTGGAAAGCATAGAGTGACAGTGTTCAGGAGCCTCTTCCTGTGACCCAGGGAAGCTCTGGCAAAGCATCTGGGCTACAGCAGAGGTGTGTTAGTACAGTTAGTATAGTAACTCCTTTGACTGCTCACTGGTGACATAGGAATTGCATATATGGATTTTAAACATGCCATTATGCCAGAAAATGGCATAGGAAGAGAGTTGGGAAGAGGGACAACAGTTGGAGTTGTGCTGACATTTAGATAATCGAGGAAGATATGGCAGGGCAAATAAAGAAGTATTTCCATGTGAAGTAGGTGCATAGTAACTCTTAAATGTTCCAGGTGTTTAATAATAAAACTCTTTGGAAAAAAGCAATATCTTGGCTGCTGTCTTTCTCACTTCGCTGTCCCGAGTTCCTGTTGCCAAGGAGGTGACCTGTCTCAACTAGTTTGAGTTTCAAGTTGCTGCCGCCGCTTCTCCTTCCAGACCTCTTTTCCCCCCTCCCTAACCGTAATCTCAGAGTGGCATGGCTGCTTTGCCTTCAGAGCACACACTCTTTCTCCAGCTTGGAATGTCCAGATTTCACAAGTCTGAAAGAAGGGAGTTATGCTTAGCTGTTAAGCTGCTCACTCATCTAGTCGGAGGGGAAACCTACACTGTATTAATTTAAATATTCCCCTCTCCAACAGTTGTGTGGAGCTACAAAACTGCAAAGCGAGGTGCAAGAATTCCTCCCTGAGGGCTGCTAAATGTGCCTGGGAAGGCTGGCCCCTTACAAGATGCAGCTGTATCTGCCACTTGCTTCTAAAACCTCATTTGAAGAGGAGAAGAAGCGCCCAGGTGTGAGCTTTACACAGCCCATAAATTACTATAATTGCACTGGTGAGAAGGGAAATACAGAGTCTGGTGACTGGAAGTCCCAAACTCCCACACAAACACACTCCTCATCAGGCAAACAAATGAAGTGCTGTTGTGGAGCTGTAACATGCTCTGCACATGTTCCTGACCCTTGCAGGATGAGGGCGATGGTCTGCTTCCAAGCAGAGGCTCCTTTAACCAGCTTGGGGTTTATGTGGATTTGACTTTCCCCAAAAGAAAGGATTTTACAACCAAGGAGACAATGGCCTTGGTGAATACTGTTACCAGGCATGTGCAATATGCCAGCACCACCTTTGGCTAGAATTTCAGAAAGAGCAAATTGTGTCCCTGGAAGCCAGAAGGGTGGCATTTTTGGGAGATTTTGGGCAAGAGATGCAACACTGCCAATGCCCCACAGAAAGACAGACCTTTGAGCATTGCTGCCATGTTTCATACCAACTAGACACTGACAGCTTCCTTTTTATGGTGCTGGCTGCCCTCAATTGTGCAGAGGGGGTGAGATGCAGAGCTTTGCCTTTACAATTATTTTCTCTTAGGACCTTCCCTCAAATGGCCTTGCAAGGAGAAGAAATTGTACAAGTGCCTGTTAATTAACATCTGTAGTCATCTGCAGCTAAACACTTCTAAAATCAACACCACAATGTAGACCTATAAGATGGTATCTTTAGGAGGTCAAATCCTTGCTCATCTACCACAAAAAACTCACACCAGAAGGTGGAGCTTCCATCCAGACTCCTTTGGGCAGTTTTCTCTCTCTGGAAAAAACTATGCTTGTGGTAGAAAGCCTTTACTTGAGAGCAATGATCAGGTCTGTATTTAAAAACAAAGTAAGCCATAACCAAAAAACCCCACCACTCCCACCAAAAAGCCCATGGTTTCATTTCACTTTTGTATAAGCAGCTCTATTTTCCTCAGGCCAGTCAAGGTGTCCATCAGTGTGGCGCCTTTCCCACTGCCAGAGCATAGAGCCACAGACCCGATTATGGGAAGCTTTTTACCAGGAGGAACTGAATTATCACAGCTGCTGAATTCCCACTGTCACTCTCACAGTGGAGTATATGGTATCTATGATTCTTAAGACATTTTAATTTATTCCCTTGCTTGCATCCCTTGCTTAATTCTCCTAAAAAAGAAATCAAACTGTTGAGAAAGAGCATGATTTGTATGATACTGCCATCACTGCAGAACCTCTTCTGAAGTGGAAAGGGCTGGGATTCTTCTTTCATCCTGGACATGTTACAGTAGATGTTCACTGCTTAAAGGGTAATTTTGAAGTCAAGGCGGGGGTGGGATAACTGAAAAGGCTGGAGACTCTTCCCATCTCAAGGCAATTCTTAATACTGTCCTACTCAGAAAATCCCTGCCAATGCTGAACCTTTTCTGCCGGATTTAAAAAAAAAAAAAAAAAAAAAAGGTAGATAGGCTGCCAAAATTAACTGGTAAGTTCCCAGGAAGCTTCACCCTTTTATTCCAGTACATGCCATAGTTTATTTTGCAGACAGACTCTTTTGGAAAACTTAAATGGATTATTGCTCTTGCTTTGTTTTACGCAGTGAGAGGCAAGCCTGCAGCACTGAAATACTTTAGCCAGCTATAAATATCAGTACACTAAATATTTTTCAGAAGAAGCAGAAAGGATTTTTTTTTCCTGTGTAGCAGTATGACTCTTAACAATAAAAAATGTCTTCCAAGCTCTTCTTATAAATGTATGCCTTATAAGAACACCAAGGCTAAAAAAAGGCTCCACAGATCCCTTGCTTTTATCTTGAATAAAGCCTGCCTTAGCTTTAGCAGTGACACTTTTCCCTCACTCTCAAGCAAGCTGCAATAAGAAATGACCCACTTGTTTAATTTGCTGAGAGGCAGAAGTTGTTACAAGCTTATTAGAACACTATCTCTCCTGGAGAACAATTAGGTTCCAAATACACAGTGTCATTTGGATCTTCCTAATAAGCTTAACACCTGCTATTTGAACTGTCTCTACAAGGCAGACTTGCACTTAGCTTGTTCTGGCAGTAACAATCTTCACATGTAGCTGAGATCCCTGATGCACATGTGCTGAGTACCAACCTGAGGCTTCAAGCACCTCTCAATTTTCTCCTCACCTTCTGACTGCCCCCAGCTCACTCATCCGGATCACCTCAGATGTAACTCTCCAAAGCCCTAAACTTGATGAAAGGATCCCAAGTCTTCCTTTCAGCACATTTTACCCCGACAACTTGAGATGTGTCAAGGCCCAGACCCCTTCACAGGGAAAGATGTGCAAGAGAGATCTAACAAGAACAGTCTTCTCTGGAATGAGATTCCCCTTTCAAATTTTCTCATTTTTCATACTCAGACATTTATTCTGAGCTGCAAATCACAGTTGAGATTTTTTTCCCTTGTGGATTACACAGCATGACCCTTCTCATTCTGTAACTTAGAACAGTGGGTTTGAAAAATAAAAATAGCTTTTATCTGCAAAATCAGTGGTACCAAGTTTGTGTATGCCTCAATGCCTTCTGTATAAAGCATACTCACTTCACACAAGTTTCATTCTCCCTACACATCTACGAGTTACTGCTTGCCAAGGATGAGTTAAGCCTGGACCCTTCTACATGAACCACCAGATTCAGATGTAAAAGTGAATCCCACTTTCACCCATGTACAAAACAAAAGGCTTTTCAATGGGATTTCAAAAGCCTGGAGTATAGCTAGATACTAACCATTTCAATGTTCTAGTGTTCCTTTCATCTGTTTCAGATGTTACAAACCTGACCAAAGCTCCCTCATCCTGAGGTCACGTCCTCCAATATCACCAGTAAAAACATACTTATTTACAGAATCAGGTTAAGTCCCCTTTCCATTTCAGTTACAGCACATCCTCACACAGAATGGGATTCTCACAGTACTTCATCAACTTCAGGTGAGTATCCTCCGG